AAAAAAAAAAAAAAAAAAGACTTCAAGACTGCCTTCCAATCTCACATGGTGACCCTGAAGTCATCTGCCAACTAGATCCTTTGGGAGATGCCAAGTGTCATCCCTAGAGCTGAATTACCAAAATTTCAAGGAAGAAGACCTGGCAAAAGGTAAAAGATTAACCAAAAGACCTAGTGGATGAGGTCAAGCTCTTAAAAAAATAAACATAACTGTAACAATTCCTGTAAATGACATTAGCCATGAAATCAAAAGAACTGATGAGACAATGGAACAGGAAACTCATTGCATTTTTGTCTTCAGACATTTTTCTTCCTATTTCTCCTCAAGAAATTAAAGAAGGGGCTGGCTGGGTGGCACACGCCTGTTATCTCAGTGACTTGGGAGGCTGAGACAGGAGGATCACAAGTTCGAGGCCAACCTGGGAAAAATAAAAGTCACTCAGTGGTACAGTGCCCCTGGGTTCAATCCCCAGTACTACAATAAACAAAAAAAAAAAAAAAAAGAGAAAGCCCCAAATGCTTCTCAGCCTCAAAGCACATTACCCCAGGACACAAACCTATAAAGACTGAAAGACTGCTATTTCTCTTCCAACTAAGAATGTCCTCTTCCATGAGGACTGTGATCCTTACAAATTTGGAACATTAACTAGATTTGACTTATTCATGCACAGAAAAATTTGTGCATGTGTGGGGAATCTTTTTTTTTTTCCTTTGCCAAACAGAAAAAGTGAGAAACCAACAGTAATGTAATCTGTGGCAGTCTCAGTCTCACAGTTAAAAAAATTGCTATGTGAACAAAAATTATTTAATAACCTTGGAATTACCTTTAAGTGTTTTCCCTTTAAAGCCCAAGTGACTGTCCTAAGAGATTTGCCACATGCAACCACATGCAAAGTTGCATTTGCCTAAGTCCCAAGAGATGCAACAGCAAAAAGGAAATGTCTTCCCTCCTTAGCCTTCATGTCTTCATAGCTAAATAGATTTCTCTAAAATACAATGGAGTGTACAGTCAGCACACTGCTAAAGTTGACAGAATACAGCTTAAGACAGTTAACCAAAAAGGAAGGAGGCCAAAGGGCCTACATTATGTCTGCTGCTTCTTAGTTCTACAAAATAGAGCAGCCAGGCTCCTTGGCAAATTCAGCTCAGGTTTTAGAATAAGGCAGGCCTGGATTTGAACCCTGGCTCTGCCACCTAAGAGAAGCTGAACAAGTTGTTTTTTCTAGGTCTGTTTCCTCACCTATAAAACAGAGTTGTGGTAAGAATAAAAGCACTTGTACCATTAAAATAAATAAAGTAAAAAATACCTGTAAAGAGTTTAATACAGTGCCTCACACAAAGAAAAGCATAGACAGACAAGAAGGTACACGAGCCAGGAAAGGATATGCACCCAATATGCCCTAAATAAATGTCTCTGCTCTATAGAGAATTTAGAAAATGGACTAAAAGGAAAAAAGAAGCAATCAAACTAATTGGAAAACTGCAGCTGGGAAGCACAGGAATTAAAAGCCAGAATGAGCAGAAACCTGTTCTACATGAGACCACCACCATGAAGCACTTCTTGGTGCTGCAAAAATCTCTCAGCACCTCAACACTAGGACTCCTGACCACTAGATTCTTTTGAATCACTTTCTTTGTCAAGTAAGACTAGTCCCTCAAGAATTCGTCTCAATGGTCAGAAGCAAGGAACTCAGTGATTCAGGGACTTAATTCTCTACCTGTAAACTTCCAGCACTCAGAGGGCCTGCAGATGAAGCATGCCTGTTAGGTAACAGTATAGGGAGACAATTCTAAACACATTCTACAAGAGAGAATTCTAAGCAAATCAAAGACAGCGGTCTGTCTCTCTCTCACCCTAACTTTCAAGCTCCTATCTTCCCAAGGCCAAATCCTTCCCCAGTCCAGGAAAGGGTCTTCCTTAGGAAAACAGAATTGGTAATTTGATAAGCTCAGATCCTCAGCCAGCATCCCCCGCCCTCCAGCCATGTTCTGCCCTATTTTTAATTCCATGTAAAAGGTCATCAAGCAGGAAAAAAAAAAATAGTGACAGTTTACCCTACTACAGGAGGGTTTGTAGAGTCATGTCAGAGATTTCTAAGGTATGAGAAGTATTATTAAGAGGGAAAACAAAGCTCAGAGAGGTAAAGTAAGTTCCTCAAGGTCATACAAGTTTAGTAAGTATCTTTCTATGAAGCGGAAATAGCCTCCCTCTATAACCAAGCCAAGTTCTGGGCCCTTAGGCCAAATAATCAGGTCTTTCCCTAGTCAGAGTCAAAAGGGATCCAGAATAACCAAGAAGAACCCGTATCGTGTAGCATGCCAAAACCCCAAGGTAAGCACTGCTGAACTACTTTCTATACTTCTATCTGTTGAAGCACACAGATTGAAATGCCTTTCCCAGGCTATGAGCACTAGTTATCCTCAAGGCAGAAATGAAATTCAATAAACATTATAAAGTGCCTTTGAATGCATAAGGCACCAGGTGCCCTGGGCCACTCAGTTACAAGAATGCTAAACTACAAAGAAATTACAGAGAAACAGCAAATTCAAAAGCAGGCCAAACCCTTATCTGGACAAACTTGGCAACAAGTACCTGAATTCATTTTACACAAAATGAACTTTCCTCAGCATGGTGAAAACAATATCACAAGCAAGTGGGAAAAGAAATAGGGCCTTCGGCTCCTACAGCAATTAGTGTAAATAGCTGCACAAGGCAAGGGTCTCCAAATACCTGGCACACCCTTATCCAAACAGGGCCAAAGAAGGAAAGGCAGAGTGAACAGCTGCACTTCCCTTGTGGGGCTGACTCCTAAGTAAAGAAGAAATTAGAAAGATGATTCCTGAGTGGAAGCTTAAACACATCTCAGTCCCAGACCTAATGCCAGAAAAATGCTACTCTCAGGAATCTGGTAAGCCCAAAGTTGCAACAAGGTGGTCCAACTCTAACCCTTTTCCCCATCCATTCCTTAAAACTGTTCAATTCATACCCAGACTGGAAGACAGGGAAACTCCATTTGAAAAAAAGAAAAAATGTCCAAAGGTTCACATCGGAAACAGGACTCCAATATGCATGAGCTTTGGTAGGTCTCATGTAATTTCACCTGCTACAATAAACTCCAAAAGAACTGCAACCATGAGCCAATAACCCAAGGACAGCGAGCCTGGCTCACTGATGACCAGACCGAAACAAAGACAAAAAAACACCTGCACCAGCAAACTAAAGCCAGAATTTCTGAATAAGATCAGTACCTGGGGATTAAACCTATGTGGTGTTGGTCAGCTTTATCCACTGCCCAAGAGACCTATTAGAACAATGTAACCAATGTAGAGCCTGGTATCTGCTAAGTGAGAGAAACCACTTACTCACTGTCCTCACTACAGTTATCTCAAGAGGCAAAGTCCACAAACTGTTTGTAGTTTCCTCAGACCTCCTTCCTCCCCATCCAGACCACAGGGAAAGAGGAAGGGTCCAGGATAGAGATAGCAATGACCTCCTGCTATGAAGTCTGGCTTTGGCTGTGCAGGACTGAAGCCCTGACTCAGCTCAACCCAGGCTACTGGGATCTACATGCCAGGGCTAAACAAATTCCAAGACAAACACAGAACTTCAGAAAGAAGCCCTGTGTCCCAAGATCCTCAGATGTATGAAAGCAATAAACTTCTAATATAATAAACTTCCAGGAAACTGCAATTAACTTGTAGAAACTAAATGCAATCCTTTAGTAAAGGCAAGAGCCAGATATGGACATCGTGGAAAAAGAAAAGTCTGTCTCCTAGGTTGTCTAGAGTGGCATATTGCCAGTTGGGCAGCCTCTTAACCCAGCAGATAGTATAAATCTCCTTCCAACACATGAAGCAAGGAACTTCCTTCTTAAGCCTGTTTTCCAATTCTACTTACAGAAGAAATAAAGAAATCTGAGAGCAGATTTCCCCCAAAGAGTGGTCTGCAAATGAAGTATCTCACAGCAACTGATACAGAAACCTAGATCTCAGCAGCGGGAGATCAATCTATTTGATCTGGAGTGAGGACCAGGAATCTTCATTTTTAACTACCTCTCCTAGCAATTCTTACACTCACTCTGAGAACTCTGCAGCTCTGTAAAAGCCACTGTTGCTCAACCAGTTTAGACACACTTTTCCTAAAAGCAGGAGTCAAACCTCTTAGGATCACCCCGGGTAGGTGGTACCACACTATAGATATTCAGATCTTACCCAGGATGACACAGTTGACACATTGCCCCCAGACTCACGTGCAAGATGGCTTCAATATAACTACTTCTACCTTTGAAGTACACATATTTGCTCCAAGGGAGGGCGGGGGAGAAGGCTACAATCAAACTTTCCTGGCCCATCCCCTTCAAAGATTCCTTGCTATTCTGGCTAAGAATCAAGCACGGCTCCTTTAGAAGGGGAGGAAAAGCAGCAGATATCTGGGTCGCAAGAATCTACCAAGAACTGTCTCGATAAGACAGCAGGAGTACTGATGAGTTATAACTCGCCTGGCCTCGAAGGGCAAGAGGCATCTCTGGTCTTTACTTTCCCAGTTTGGGTGGGGGTGAGGGGCTGAGAAAATCCAGGATGCGAGGTCCAAATATAACTTCTCGCCAACTCTCTGCCTCCATAGCTCTTGGTAGCTTCGAGCCAGTGCTAGGCCCTGGGCGTATGACCAGGTCCTTGAGGAAACTGCAAAGAAACTTCACTCCAGAGACGTGGCCCCTAGTCGAGGAACGGGATCAGGGCCCGCAGCCGTCCACCAGCTGCGCCCAGCACCGCAGGCCTGGAATCCCGCAGCGCGGGCGAAGGGCTCTCACCTCGGCCCACCCGGCCTTCCAAAGGGTCCTTGCGGAAGTGGATCCCGTGTACGTCCACATGAGCCTCTCCGCCCGCGTTGACCGCCCAAATGACGCTCTCAGGCAGCCCGGCACCAACCACGCCGGCCACGCCGAGTCTCGGCTCCCGGAGCGACGGCAGGAGCATCAGTAGCAGCAGTCGCAGAAGCGCCCCAGCGGCTCCTTCAACCACCCGGGGCCCCAGCATGGCGGCCACCACTGCGGGGGCAGCCCCCGCCGACCTTCGTCTTTGGCCGGCCGCCAGGCCGCCCCCGACTCAGTAAAACAGTGCCACTGGCCGCTCTGCCTCAGCCGCCGGGGACATGTCGCTCTCAGGCCTTTTTCTCAGCCACGGGTGCCGCCTCCCACCTCAGGAACAACCTACCCCGCCGCCCAGCCTCCCAGCCAAGACCCTGTAGCCAATCAGCGCCGATTCCTTATTAATTACCCACCACCCCGCCGGGAGCCGCCCGCCCATTGGCTATCAGACGCGAGAAAAGGCGTGGCCACTCCCAGGCTCCGGTCCAACCATCGGGCACGAGATGGAGCGCGCGCAGAGGGAGGGAGTTCGGTTGAAGCAGCGGTCCGATGCGGAAGTGGCGGGTGCAGCGCCCAGGCGGCCCCGGAATCCCACAGCTGAATGGGAAAGGTGGCCTGGGGGGGTGGGGGGGAAGGTTTAGTATAGGGCGCACTGACACGTCGCCAGCACTTCCGGTGCTACAAATCTTGGGACCGAATAAGCTCTGGAGGGGGCGTTGCTGTCTTTCCCCCCTTTTTTTCTCAGGGAGAGGCATGAGCATAAGCTCAAGTAGGAGAAGCCGTGGACACTCTCCTGACCTAAGAGACTCAGCCTTTTCTCCGTGTGAGACAAAGGACCCAGCCTTTGCCAACGAGGCCACAGGAACACGACTGAAGCACACGAGTCCCACGAGGATAGGGTCCCGCCCCCACCCCTTAGCGGGCTCTGGGCGGGTGGTAGAGTCCAAGCGGCCGTCCAATCAGAAGGCTCCAACGCAGCGGAAACGCGTGGCTAGGTGAAGGAGGGGTCCGGGCTGCCCGCGTCTCCATGGCGACAGCCTCTGGCCTGACTCTGAACCTGGAGACTGGGCGGGGGCTTCCTCGGCCCTGGCCGGAGTAGAAGTCGCCAGTTCCCAGTTTGAGGACCTGGGTTACCTGGCACAGGCATGACCCCACTTCTCTTCCTACTCTGGCAGTTAACCCGGCGCTTTCCTACACTGGTGATCCCTGCACTTCAGTGACTGCTCCAAACTCCCACTTCTCCAATAGGAAGACAGGCGCAGAGAGAAGCTGTGTTGCCAACAAGGGGTCTCACCACAGGTGCAAAACCAAGGCAGAAAACTATTTAATAATTTCGTCCACAAGTACTTATCCAGTCCCTACTAATAAGGTTGTCAGATTTAGCGGATAAAACACAGGAAACCCCGCTTAATTTGAATTTTAGATAAACAAACGGAACATACTCATATTAAAAACCAAATTTCTAAAATTCAAACAACTGTACGCTTTGCATTTTATCTGACGACCCTACCTATTATGTGCTAGGCAATGAGCTTAGTGCTGCAAAAACACACCTGGGGCCCCACATGAGAATCATAGATGTTTAAGCAACCCATGACCCAATTAGTTAGAAAAGGGTGCCAATGAACAATATAAGGGGAAATTTAAATGCATCAGAATTCTTTTCTCAGACTCCACAGGTATAACTTTTGGGAGATTGTTGTGTGTGTTGCAGTGGGGTGGGGCTAGAACCCAGGGCCTCTGCGTGCTAAGCAAGCTCTCCATCACTGAGCAATATTCCCAGCCCCAGGGGTAATTTTTGAATGTATTACCTCCTAGTCTCATTCTAGTATCTGCCCTTGATTCTTCCTGAATAGACTTGTTTCCTCTAGAGTCCTGCACTTGAATTTCTAATTCCATTCTCCTCTCTCAATTAAAAAAATTAAAAATGTTATTTTTGGAGGAACCTGTCAACACAGAGTCTTGAATAGTCCTTAGAGTAGGGGCATGATGCAAATAGGGAACAGAGTTACAGAAGTGATGCAGTTACCCCTCCAGGCAGGGGCTAACAGAGCCACTGTTCTAGCTGTATACTACACTACCTGCAGGAGCTCATGCTTATGTTATTTCCAGGCAGTCTCATCCAGAGAAGCAGTCACAAAAATGGGCTAAACATTTGAGAAAGCCTCAAAAGTTCTAAACTTCAGCCTTCTCTCAGTCCTCTAAATATTCAGTCACCTCAGAAGGTAAGTAAGATGTGTGACTACCCCTTAATGAGCTCTTCAAATTCCATTCCTGGTTGGGCTACCCTTATGCCAAGGAGCCTGGCCCCCTTTTTGAGAACCAGTCACTCATGAATTAGGCTGTCTTTTCTGTAAAACATAAATTATAAGACCCTGGAGGCAGGATGAGCATGGGATCTCAAGCTTCCTGGGTTTCACATCTAGGTCTACATTTACCCACTGTGTGGCCTTGAGCAAATGATAGTTCTCTGAGTTTGTTTCCTCAATTGTGAAACAGAGGTAATAATTGTTCCTATTCCAAGTGCAGGTGTGAGGATTAAAGAAGATAATGAGACCAAAGGAGGAAGAGGAGGAGGACCAGGGAGCAATGTACATAATAAAGTTGTTAGAATTGTTAAATAAAAATGCAGGCTACAATTTAGATACCTCAAGATCAGCCACTTCTAGCCCCAGAGCTGAAACTTAAGTCATCCTGATTTTCCCCCAGAAATGATAACTCTAAAAATAAAATGCATATGGGCTGGGGTTGGGTTATGGCTCAGTAGTAGAGTGCTTGCCTAGCATGTGTGAGGCAGTGGGTTCCATCCTCAGCACCACATATAAATAAATAAATGAAATAAAAGTCCATCAACAACTAAAAAATTATTTTAAAAATTTTAAAAATAGGGCTGGGGTTGTGGCTCAGTGGTAGAGTGCTAGCCTAGCACATGTGAGGCCCTGGGTTTGATCCTTAGCACCACATAAAATAAATAAACAAAATAAAGGTATTGTGCCAAACTACAACCAAAAATATATATATTTTTTAAAATAAAATGCATAAAGATTTTTGTCCTTAATAGCAGGAGTCGATGAAATTAAACCAATAAGCTACAGACAAGTCACTTTAAACAGTTCTGTTTGTCTTAGAAAAAATATATGACAGTTAATCTAGCAAAAGGTCAAAAATACTTCCTCTTTTATGCTTTATAAACTGTTTTAGCTGCTATAAATTGAAACTTGTCAATCTTGATTTGCAGTGTACAGATTCATGGACTGTTCTTTTGTATGCACAATAAACTCTTAACATTTTAACTTGATTTGATTTTATTTTTAACAATAGTGCCTTGCATAATAAACCAAGCAATCAACCAGTTATTATCCTGAAAATAAAAAGTTCTCTGGAGTTCCTGCTTACTTGACTTGGACCTCATTGTCCTTCATCTTATACTATAAAAGGTTGCTAGATCTGTGCTTTTAGGTATGTCTGCTGCCCAGCCCCCCCTTTTTTTCTTTTTTCCCCAGCACTAGGGATTGAACCCAGGGGCACACTGTCACTGAGTGACATCCCCAACCCTTTTTATTATTATTTTTTTAATTTTGAGACAGGTCCCACTCAGTTGCCCAGGCTGTCTTCGAACTTGACAAGCTTCCGCCTTAGCCTCTCAAATAGCTGGGTTTACAGGCATGTGCCACCACACTTGGCACCCAGAGCTTTTGATAAGTAAAATTTCCAAAATTACCAACTTCCTCAAACCCCTGTCTCCTAAAGAACCCTGTGTTCTTTGAAGGAGACAGTTTCTCCTGTAGACTAGACACAATTGTCATGAGGCTAGTAAAATTTGTGGGATTTACTGACAGAAGTATTGGGCCCCCCCACTCACCAAATCTTTCTCTTTCCTTATCGTGTAAGATTCTCACATCATATGAAAGCCCCATAGTTTACTATCTGCATTTTATAATTAAGGAAATTGAAGCCCAGAAGTGTAGAGGGCCAGCTGTTTGTGGAACATGGTCTCATCTGAGAGAGCCTGGTTCAAGGGCAATCTCTAGGGAATAAAGGGTGCTGGGTGGGGTAGTCAAATTTCTAGTAGCAGAAGCATCAGGCCCAAGATGAGGTTGGGGGAGAAGACAAAAGGGTTATGGTCTCAGCTGCCAAGCCAGACTGGAAGGTCTGACTTCAGAGCAGGATTATCTCCTAAAACACCAACCCAAAGGGGTCCTCAAATAGCCCCAGACCTCCTCTGGACTGATTGTTCAGAATACAAGAAGTCTGGGCCCTGGGAAAGCTAAGAAGAATGTTAGTATCCAGGTGGCCCTTGGCCCAGGCAATTATTTTATAGATGATGACCACCTTGGACGCCAGCTTACAGTGTTTCCTGCCTGCTATAGGTCATCTCCATCTGAGAGTTCAAGAACACTTTGAAGCCAAGCATAGTGGTCCACACTTGTAATCCTGGTAATTTAGGAGGCTGAGGCAGGAGGATCACAAGTTCAAGGACAGCCTTAGCAATTTAGTGAGACCCTAAGCAACTTAGTGAGACCCTGTCTCAAAAATAAAAAGTGGGGGCTGGGGCTCAGCAGTAGCACACTTGCCTGGCATGTGTGAGGCACTGGATTCTATTCTCAGCACCATATATAAATAAAAAAGGTCTATCAACAACTTTAGAAATGTTTTTTAAAAATAAAAAGGCTGGGGATGTGGCTCCGTGGTCAAGTACCCCTGGGTTCAATCCCTGATACAAAAAAAAAAAAAAATTACTTTGATCACTTTGATTAGCTGTATTTTCAACGCCTTCAGCTGGGGCTGGTTTTATGCAAAAATTTCATTTTCTTCAACTCCTCCAGCACCCTGTCAGGTTGGAGTACTTGCTCTCCGCAGAATGATAGAAAATACAGTTTTGGGGTGAAACAAATGCATTCAGTTTCTTTCTCAGTGGCTTCCCAGCCACATTACTCCCTTTCTCTGAGTTTCCTCTCACTTAAAATGCAAATGGGGGCTAGGGTTGTGGCTCAGCGACGGAGCACTCGCCTAGCTCAATCCTCTGCACCACATAAAAATAAAATAAGTAAAATAAAAGTATTGTGTCCAACTACAACTGAAAAATAAATAGTAACAAAATAAAATAAAATGCAAATGGGATGGTCCACCTCACAAGACACATTTTTTGTAAAAAATGCAGACAGTATTGAAAGGAACTTTGAAAAGATAAAATTCACCATAATTCCACCCAAAACTGAGATAAGACTTATAAATCCAGGCAGGCTCTGACAGCAGGTTCTCTATAACCACTGGCTCTCAACCATATGATTTTCATAGCCACCTCAAGAAGCTGGAA